ACAACAACAACAATAACAACAACAGGTTGGCCGTGTTTGGGCATGGCGATACATGATAAGCCCACTCATATGTCAACCCAAGCAGGTTTGCATGAGACCTATACATGAATTACTTGAATTTCAATGCTCCGACTGCTACAAGCAGAAGATGGCATGCTTCGCTCTCGGTGTCTGTATTGTCCAAGTCGTGATTAAGACATGCTCGAGAAACTAATTGATGCAATACCATCGCCTACGATGCCAAATTCTCAGCTTGTCTGTAATCCTTCCAGTTCATGGCCAATGCCGAGCTGCTACAGGGCGCAACCATGCTTCAGTCTAGTCTGGAGCTTTCCGAGCAATTCGGTACCCGATGGTACCCTTTCTCGAATACTTCCAGGCTGCAATGACCCTGAAAGGCTCTAGGCTTGTTCGCAGCTTGTTTACATGCTCAAGGGCAGGACTCTCTCGCCCAGGTCCCCACCCGCAGATTGACGCCGCATTGGGGTGCGGCAAGCCCGCAGCCATTGTCCTTCGCGTACATGGTCCGAAAGAGGTTCTCAGACCTGGGCCGTGAACGGGCTGGAGCCTTGCTGCAAGTGCTCTTCTGGGGTTGCTGCCGGTAACTAGTCACAAAGGCTCAGAAGAGCCCCATGGCTTGAGCTCCAAGTTCAAGCCGAGCATCAGCTGCCGAAGCTTAGGACCGAAGTCTGTCCTGAGATGGACACGGCATCTGCACATCGCGTGGTTGTTCATGGCCGCTCCATCTACATCTATAGATGTATGATTATGTATATGCGGGCTTTAGCTTTAGGGTGTGTAGGGTTTAGGGAAGCTTAAGGACTGCTTGCCGTGCCGCACTTCGGCATTCGGACGCCGGAGGGCCGGATGCGGATACTTCAGGATCTCCTGCACTTCCGGTCGGCTTCGTTGGGAAGACTAGGGTTCTTGCACCCCGGATGAGCTTGCACGCGGATTTCGGATAAGGGAGATTGGGAGTTATGATGAGTAATGGGGAAGAGTGCAGGCGCGTGAAACTCAAGCCTTTACAGCCCTAAACCTTCGTGACCCCGAGCTCCACTCCGCAAGATACGAACAACGCCCAACTCCTACTTGTTCTCCGCTTGCTACCCTGCTCCCTGAAGCTCGACGAATATCTCTGGGTATTTTTCAGCCAAAGGGCAAGAAGTTTGGGGCCAGTGTCATAGCCTGTGACAGGCTCATCTGACCTTCGATGGGTCTGAAGGCTTCGGGCCTTTGCGACAGGTCTTCGCAATCAGGGCTTTACGCTCTCGCGACTCGGACTCGTCAGACGAGGTCTCTCGATCCACAAGCACTTTGACTGAACATCACTAGGAGCCGGCGATCATCGCAGTCAGGGAGTCAGGGCTTTAGAAGTTGACGGCTCCGGATAAGTTTCTACTACTATACTGCAGCGAAACCGCATCGCAACCGTTCGGAATCCATGTTCGAGACTCGGTACGAGTGGTTTCGACAGTTTATCGCAAAGGCGACCCAGTTGTAGGAGCCGGCGGTGACGCGAATGCAGCCTTGCTTACACATTGTCACACATGTAGGCCCATTCAGACAAGAAGCACCCTCGGCGTACTGAAGCCGAGCCCAGCTGGGCGCTTCTTCTTCAGCTTGGTCCGTGCCCCCTTTGCTTTCCTTGCGGCAGGGAGGCCCCATCGCTGTACCACCACCAAGTGATGTTGGATGGGGAGCTGGGCTTTGAACCTAAATGGTGCAGGATGCTGCCCCACCGATCTGGTTTAGGACGCCAGGTTTCTTCTTTGCGATGTTGACACGGTTAGGTCTGGGACGCGGGGCGAGCGCAGTATCGCGACCAACGCATAACACCGGTGTGACACGCCGGTATCTCTAATGGTATGTATGTATGTATGTATGTATGTATGTATGTATGTGTGTCTGTATGCATGTATGTAGGTAGGTATGTAGGTATGTATGTATGTTTGTATGTATGTATGTATGTATGTATGTATGTATGTGAATGTACATGTGTATATACATGTATATATATATATATCTCTATATATATATATATGAGTATGTGTATTATATTGTGTACATCTATGTGCACTGCATAAGCACCATGGGCTTCCATACATACTCGCACACGTACAAATACTGGATTTAATCGTAAGGTGTATGTCTCTAACATAATTGTAGGCCTCACTGTGCGATACTGATAGGTTTTTATGTACGGTATGCAAATACCGACATTATGTAACAAATGCCCTATCTACCCCTCCCCAGGTTAAACATGTAGGGTGTCGGGATGAACCCCCTGAGCCCATAATGAAGTATGGGGCGAAGAACTGAGGTACAGGATGGTACAGGCTATGAAGGCATACGGAATACGTCCTCAGAGTCATGCTGCTTGAGAAAGCATTGAAAGAAAGATTGAAACCTGAGTACTGAGTACAGAAGTTGCCAACCGAAGGATCATCGCTCTCCCAGCTGCCGCCAAAGCAGTGGCCGCCCCAGAGACGGACACGCCGGTCTGTTCGGAGCATCGCCGCCTGCAGCATGCATACCGTGCCCACATCCCAGAGCCACAAAATGGCCCTGACCAAACCACCTCCACAACGAAGAGCGCAGCATACTTGCAAGGTAGGTTCTGAAGCCTAGGGACACGCCTACCAGTTCCCTTACCAGGGCCGGAAAAACTCATCAAAGCCCTGCTTCTAATGATAACTTTAAGTCGGAGCGGCCCCGCCCAAAACTGAAACTCAACGACTCAGAAAACACAAACCCTACAAAGTCAACCTGAAGGTGCCGAAGCACCGTAAGAACCAGCAATTGCCACCTAACCTAAATGCTATGCTTCGCAGGCACTGACCACCAACCTCGGCAAAGGGCACAGTGCTTTTCCTGCCCTTGGGTTTTGTATGCAAATTAATGAGCAATCTAGCGCTCTGCAGCACCGAACGCCCCTCTCCCCCCAACCAAGGTTCCGAAAATCCCCAAGTCCAGCCCCATCCACCCTGCTTGCACCTCGGGTCGGCTCCACCGGCCAACACGGCCCTAGCTTGCAGAAAGCTGTTAGCTTCAAGGGTCGCACGACTACTGCCAGCTTTGCTGTGACTGACGTTCACAGCTTACCAGGCAAGTCGAGTTCTAGACTCAGGACTTCTGGACTCGGACTGCCCGGGGAAGGAACTCCGGATCGAGTCGACACCAAACTGGAGTTCAGAAACCGGGGACGTATACTTTCCTGTAGCTCCATTCCGACACGGGAGCTCTGTAAACCCTATGGTCCCCATAAACGGATAAGAGCTGTCATGCACAGTCCATGTTGGGTATCATCCTCTCGGAGAGAATAGGAGCAGATCTGGTTCACTCGGTGACTAGCTCACTGACGCACTGATCGATGCTTACTCTGTCGCGGTAAAAGCGAACCGCGGCGACCGTGTAAATCTATGCGGTGGAGACCACGGGAGAGTTGATGCAACTGGGTCGAAAATTCATGATAAACCCTGGAGGAGCTCGAATCTCCCAAAGCGATTTCGTTGAATTTCGGCCCGGGCGCGGGTGAGCTTCGCCGGCCAGCCGAGAGACAGATGGTGGGCCTGTTCCGGACACACCCTGTGCACGATTTAAACCCGATCTACGCAGCTTTCCAAAACAAACCTCTGCCCTGGCACAGACCCTGCTTTGTGGACTGCATCTGCCCACAAGGCAGGCAAATTGGATACGCTCCATCCAAGGCGGCGTTTGGAACGGCGATCTAGGCTCAAGTATGTTCAAGTCATGCTGAAGAGTTGCCCTTCCGTCAGGCCAGCCATCGTAGCGCCCTAGGGCATAGGGCTCGCGGTGCTGGACATGACCGCGTGAGAATGGCTTGTAACAGTGAAATGTCAATGTTCTTCTTCATCAATGCACGTCATCATCATTATCATCCCAGGTTGGCTACAGCAACCACATCACCAGTAGCCTCGCCAATTCCACGAAAGGCTAAGCACGACAGCTTTTGCTGTGGAAGGTGGTATACGGTAGTAGACTCATGCGCATCATAGAACCATGAGCTTGCATGCATCCACAATGACAGGCCGTCAGAGACGTCAGAGTCAAATGCGAAAAAAAGAGTTTCGCCACTGGCTGAAGAAACGCCCTTCCTCGTCCTCATCCTCGGCCTTCAGTCCAAAAGCTTTCCCCATTCGACCCAAGGTGAGACGATGACAGCCGCAGTGAAGCTGCGTCTCTGTGGAACGACACATTACCAGGTCAGTCAGTGGAAGGGGTTTAGGGGTTCGCCAGCTGACACACGGCGCGCCAAACCTGCCAAACGTTTGGACACATTGGGGAGGCAGAACCGGACAGCACTTGCAGCAAGGCCAGGACATCTCCACTTCCTTGCTGTCACCCCGTCTCGTTGTCTGGCTCACTCTCTCACTCTCACTCTCTCCCTCCTTCCTTCCGTTGGGTTCGGGTCAGCAGCGCCGAACCGCGCCGAGGCCCCCCTCCCTGCTTGGCTTTGTTGGCTTTGGGGCCTTGTGAGCGGTCTTTCGCTCCAACGGACTGTACGGTTGGGGGTGGGTGGTTGCTGCTGTAGCTCCCGCCCAGAACTTCAAGCAACCCTCGTCCCCGCGCCCACTATGGCTAGTTCCTTAGCCCCAGCAGCAACCACTCCGCCATGTAGAATTCTACGGTAGGCTACAGTTCCCCCCTTTGCACCAACAGACTAAGGACCCGACTAGTTTGCCAGGGGTAGTCAGTTTGTCGGGGGTCCACCTTCGAAAGCAGCAACAAAGTGTAACAAAAAACCGTGCAAGAAACGAAGATTGGTGCATCTCCCCCGGTCTATGGTGGAAGCCAGAAAATTGGAAAGTGCGTTGCGGCGCGCTTGGACCTGAAACCCAATCTTCCAACTTTCCGTTCTGGGCAGTCCGGCACCCCGCATGGTCTCCAAAAGGAGGAAGCCTCTTAATGCGATCTTCCAACTTTGTTCTGCTTGGCAGGCACTGCACCTATTGCCTGGCAGCAACCTGCAACCCCGCATTCCGGGAAGGGCAACCCCGCATGCCCGGATCCGCCGTTCGACTGGGTCGGTCGCATTTCTGCCAGTACTTGGTGGCAAGTACTTTCACGGTGCGTCCTGAAGACGCCAGTACGTTGAAAGCGGCAAAATATTTTCACGGCGCGTCCTGGAGACGCCAGTACTTGGGGGAAAGGATTGTTTCTGAATCCCGGCTTTCCTTGGGGCAAAGCTTTCCGCCGTTAGACCTGATCGGTTCTATTTCTGGTTTGACTCGGTGGAAAAAACTTTGATGATGCGACCTGGAGATGCCAGCACTAGGGGGAACGCGATTATTTCAGCCAGCACTCGGGTGAAAAAATATTCACGGGGTTTGTCCTGGAGACGCCAGTACTTGGGGGAAAGCGATTCTACCGTGCCGTCGATTGTATCTGAATCCCGGCAGCATTTGCGGCAAAGCATGGCGGGCGTAGTTCTGAATGCCGTTGTAGGGTGGGTTTGCCCGTGGGTCTTTTAGTTCCAGTACTTCGGGGAAAGTAATCCCCCCGTGCCCTGGGCTGTTTCTGAACCCCGCCAGTAGTCGGGGTACGGCATTTTGGACGTGGTTCTGAATGTGGCAGCATTCGGAGGGAGGCAGGTTGTGCAGCCCTGACGACGTGTTCACATGCTCCTACATAGTTCTAGCTTTGAAACCAAAGTTGGAAGACATGAAACTTGGAAGAAATGACATGTAGACGGCCAAACTTAAAGTTTCAAGATGTCTTGCATCATGCGCCAATC